GGGGGGGAGGGCAGCGTTAAGAGGTTGCAGTACAATATTTAAGACAACAGTATGCATAACAGCTTAGTGATATGAGTGAAATCTCACTAGTGGAGGCTATATTATTAATAACCTTCTATAGATTAAGGCCATTACACAGTGGCAGTAAGATTAGGTCTGCTTCAAGATGGGCTTCATCTGGCTCTGAACCTGTGATAACTAATGATGAGGTTTTCTTCTGCTATTGCCTTGAAGGCACTTTGAAGATTGCAAAATTTACCCAGACTCTGAGGCTAGAATTTCCCCCACCACCCACCCCCCAGTTTAGCCAGGTGAGGTTAGCCAGACTTTAGGTAAGTGATCTTGCAGGTTAAACGTCTGTCTTGCACTTACTTGTTCATGTTTCTCTTTTTATCACCCACATATTTTGTAAATCTTTCATGTTTCTGCATGTGTCTTACCTGCATTAGGCCATTCATTTAAGTGCAGCTCTACTTATATATTGTGAGACCAGTTTCTCAGGAGATGGATGCTCAGTCTCCTGTGACCCCAATATCTGGGGCTAGGATCAATACCGCTGCCTGTATGTAAAAGATGAAACATAGGTACAATACCGGGCATCCCCTTTCAGCTAAGCATCTTCTTGCAATGGGTTGATTGTGTAACTTCTGCTACAAATGCTAATTACAGTTTTGCCACCCTCCTTCTTCAGAGTCCAGAGCAGAAACTGTGATGGAACTACAGCTTTAATTTATCTGTCTTGGATGTGTGGCAGGGATCGATATCCATTTCATCCATGTGAAGCCCTCCTACGTCCCTCACAGTCGAGCTGTTCAACCTTTGCTGATGGTCCATGGCTGGCCCGGCTCCTTCTACGAGTTCTACAAGATCATCCCTCTGCTCACGGAGCCTGGCAGACACAGCCTGAATGAGGGTGACGTGGTGTTTGAGGTCATCTGCCCATCCATTCCAGGCTATGGCTTCTCGGAGGCACCGCACCAGAAAGGTAAGCGATGAAAAGGCTCTGTTGGAATCGCAAGGTTTTTGGAGTAACACCTCAGCCATCCCTGGGCCCCCTAGGCACTGCAGTTTCTGAATGCAGATGCTTGGTTCTGCACTAACACCTGCATGGCTGAGGCTCTGGGGCTGGCTATGGAGATTTGGAAGGCAATAGTAGCTGTAAACCAGGCCTGCTTTCCACTTTCTCCACTCTCCACTGAATTTCTATCACCTTGTGTTCACTTTATTGCCAAGGAGTGAGGCAGAGCCGCATAGCACGCTGTGCCTTCACACAGCAGCATACTCGCATGCCTCTGTCAGGCCATGATCTTTGGCCAGGGCCAAAGGACAAACAGGTCTCCTGCATTTCTCTTTACCTACAGGCTTTGACACCATAGCAACTGCTCGGATATTTCATAAGCTGATGAACAGATTGGGCTTCAAGGAATACTACCTACAGGGAGGAGACTGGGGATCTCGTATTACCACAAACATGGCCCAGATGCTGCCACAGTGAGTAGCAAAGGGAATCAGTGCAGAAAAGCTGCCTCCAGTTCTTATCCTGCCTTCTGGCTCCATGGTCCTTGTCCTGCCTTCCGTTTGCCCTGCCCCTCATCCCCTTCTGCTTTGTCTCCTCCAGGGACATCCCCACCCGTGTGCATTCAGTTGTATTCATATGCTTTGCACTGACACTGGCACAGTTCTTATGCTTTCTAAATTTCAGTGCTGTTTGGCTTCTCTTTCACTAGCTGTAGAAGTGAACTCTGCTGCATTTTGATTTGAGACCTCAAGGAGACAGATCATCATTCTAAACAAGGAAGGAGATAAATTTAAAATCAGCAGGGGGAAAAGGAAGGAAGGAGCTCAGCCTTTCAGCAGCTGAACAGTACCACTAAGTATAGGACTTTCCTATCTAAAATGCAGAGTTGAGGCTGATCAGAAAAGAAACACAACACCTTCCTCAGAAGATGGCATCACAGCTCATTGCTTAGCATTTAATGAAAAGCAGGCACCATAGCCACACTTAGGTCAGAGAACAGATAAAGTGGGAAAGCTCTTAAAGCAGTTAGATTGCAGGCTGAGCAGCTCACTGTTCCTGATTGCCGTTGTGCTTCACAGCACCCAGAGCACTTTGGCCACATGTACTCAAGCTTTTCAGAAAATACCCAACACAGCCTGTTTCCTACAACACAGAACAACACAAGATCAACAGCCAGAGTTACCAGCATGGATATGCCACATCCAGAAACTGAGTGCCTAAAGTTAACATCATACCAGTGGCACAGCTGGATGGAGATGGCACCAGCTGTACTATTTCTAACTCCCATAAATTTTTTTTTTAATCACAATGAACCTGAAGGGCTTTATGTATTTGGCTCAGTGAAATGCTTGCATCACAGCTCCAGTCAGACTTATTTTCTAGAAAATTTGGAGACAGAAAATAATTTCATTTAACCTTCTATTCATTAACTTAATTTTAGATCTGTGAAAGGGCTTCATCTGAATTTCATCTTCGCCGGCAGACAAGGTTTGAGAAGGATGATTTCTGTGATGCTTGGGGCTTATGTACCATGGCTCGTAGGCCTCACTAGGGAAGATGTTCAACGTATGTACCCTTTCTTCCAGAAGAATGTATATGAACTTCTGCGAGAGTCTGGATACTTACACATCCAAGCCACCAAACCAGACACTGCAGGTAATGAACCTTCTCTATATTGCTATGAACATTGTATACTAACTGCTTATGGTATATAAAAACTTATAGTTGAACAAAGGACAACTGTGTTTGAGAAGCAGTGAGTTCTGGTGACTGAATGCAAGACATGGGGACAAGAACTGTGTAAAAGGAAGTTAAAAGGAATAGCTTAGAAAAAGATGGAGACTACAAATATCACTTTTCAAAGTCTTTTAAATGGCATGCCACTTCTCTTGGGGAAAGAACCCATTTGCAATAAGCCTCTTAAAGTCAAGCACAGGGTCCTGACAGTGAAGCTTCTAGAAACGAATGTGGGTGAAAACAAGAAAAATGTCATAAGCAAGTGCAAGGTGAAACTTGCAGAAAGGTAGACGCAGCCCTAACACCTGAAAAGCCAGAAGCCTGACATAGTTAGTGGGGCCAGTAGATAAGGAGTCTGAAGATAGATATAGCCATCTCAGAAAAGTTAAATGAATTATTGGCATCAGTCCCCACTTGCAAGGATTATGGGGTATTCCTTTATTGAAATAATCCCTCATCAGGAAAGACAGCAGAGCTGTGTCAGACTGGTGTCAGATGTAGAGACCATAGAATGAATAGCACCCCATCCTGGCATTCACTGAAAAAGAAGAAACTCAAACTGAAACATCAACTAATGCCTAGTCTGTTGCTCGAACTGATTGCAATACCAAAGAAATAAAAGGAGACAAACAAGATACCAGGTTGGGGGGAGGGGGGTGGTTGTTTTTTTAAGAGTCAAACAGTGACGGAAGCCCCCAGAAAAGTGAAGACCAGTATGTCTAGTCTCTGATCAGAAAACTAGCAGAACTATTTTAGAGAGGAGAATTGGTTTACAGGTGATAGTATCACAGGGAAATCATGCTTCAAAAATCAGAGCTCTGGCAGAATCAAAGAGCTGTGGATCCAGTAACGGAACATATTTCATTTCCAAAAAAGTTTTGTTGCGGTTCCTCCCCCAGTGTTCTTGAAGAAATTAAACTGCCTTAAGAAAAGGATTAAGTTCATGGATTAATAATTAGTTAACATGAGAATCCAAGCATAGGAATAAGTAAGCAAGTTCCAGGGGAGGGAGAGTATCACAAAAATCTGTGCTGGCATCTGTACATTTCAACACAATCCTAATTTCTCTACAGACAAAAAGTTAATGGTTAAGTGAAAATTTGACAGCTATCCAATGTTTGGTTTAATCTAAAGATAACTGCAGAGAGTTGCAAAAACATTTAAGTGACTGGTTGATTAAACTGGCCAATAAAAACTTATGTCAACAAAGTCCAGTGCAATTTAAGTAGAGGAAGAAAATAACAACGGGCTCTAGTTTGACTGCTGCCATATGGAAGAATCCATAAGTCATGGATAGTGCTTTGAAACATTGGCCATCTCAGAGTTTAAGAGAATCTTACAAACTCTTAAAGAAAGCAAAAAGAGACTAAGACAAAACACTAAGTCTGTTATATTCAGAATCTGTTGTACCCCTGTTCGCCCTGTTTCATAAATATATTTTAGAATCAGAATAATACAGGAAGGGGAGAAAAGGAAGACTGAAGTGACCAAGCAGCTTCCATGCAAGTACTGTACACAGTCTAGGACTCTTCAACCTGGAAAAAGAAGAGCAGGTATTTTTAGCACACTAAAATTGTGAAATGTAGAAAATGAAGGGTGGAGGGGAAATGTATTCCCTACTCAGTCTCAAGAAATATCTACATTATCAGTTTAGTTCTCAGTAGGTAGGTTTAAACCAAAGTTAAAGTATTTTCACTCATCACAAGTTGTGGTACTTAAGAAGTGGTACAGGTTGAATGACTAATAAGCTGCAAACAAGACTGGTATTTGAGCATTTAATCCATGGATGTTGAATACAGTGGTTCAGAGGCAGCTTTCAGCCCCAAAAATGTTCATCTCCAGACTAATCACGTGCTAGCTGACACATTTTAGCCTACCCTACCATTACTGGTCAAAGCACTTACATGACTTCGATCTGTAGCAAATCACTCTAGGCCTGCCAGTGCAGGAAAACTGTTGTGCCAATGGACAAACTTACTTTGCATCAGCTATGTCCACTATTAAATTGAGACCATGTTGTGCATCATCTTCTACAAAGTCACTCAGTGCTAAAGTCATACTAAAATACAATTGAGAGTAGGCAATACTGAGTATACGGTAAAAAAACAGCCTGGGGTATGGTACAGGAATTTTCCCAAGGCAAGCCTCTATCACTACTGAAGTAATCCCTATCCCTGTTTTACAGGTAAGGACACAGATATAATCTGCTGTGTACCTGCTGTGTTTATAATGTTTGTTAGTGTTCCCCAAAGGCAGGAACAGATAACAGATACACAACAATCCACTGTTTAAATTAGATAAAAAGTGATGAACAGCACACAGGGTCCTTGGTTATCCATCCTAAGCAGGACAGTGCTCCAAAATAGTTTATCTGAAATTTCTTTTCAGAGTGTAACCCCTTACATCTGAATTTGCTCCTTCTGTCACACATTACCAAGAAGCCAACAGGACTTTCTTAGCTCCTAGCTTCTTTTGTGTAGGAATTACCAGAGTTTGTAGCGCTGTCAGTTGCAGCTGGAATTCCATTGGGGTGAATTTGTCAAGAATAAATTACTACCAGGGCTAGTAAAATACATATTCTCTACTGAGTTCTCATAGAAAGCTCTGAAGAATTCATGAAAGTCCAGATTAACTTCCACTGAAGTATTGCAATGCCAGGCAACTGCAATTGCTCTTCTTCTGAATTAGGTTGTGGACTGAATGACTCCCCTGTGGGGCTTGCTGCATATATTTTGGAGAAATTCTCTACCTGGACAGACAAATCATTTCTGCATAAAGATGATGGAGGCTTAGAAAGGTAAGAAAACAGATGCTCTTCCATGAGAAGACTCATTAAAAGAATGAGTGATGATAACTAATGAGGAGATAGGTAAAAGACTGGCCAGTCAAAGCTGAATTTTAAGGATGAAAGATTACACACGACAAGTGGTAGTTTAAACTTACAGCAGACTGTCTGCAAACTACTGCTTCAGCACCAGGCAGTTTTGCTCTGGGCACATGGGTGCAAATTAATTTGCTGCTTGAAAACAAGTGGAGAACAATAGGAACAACTGTTCTTCAGGGCATGAGCCCAATATAGCATATTGAGAAACAGCTTCCAATGAAATTTCTTGTTTCTCTCTCAACAGCAAATACTCTCTTGATGAGCTTTTGACCAATGTGATGATTTATTGGGTGACATCCTCCATCGTGTCCTCAATGCGATTCTACAAGGAGAACATCTCCAAGGACCCTGGTCTAATTGCTGATGCCAGGTAATGAAATGGCAGGTGCAAGACAGATTTGCAAATGAGATTGAACCATATTTGCCTGTATAAACATTTAGATCACTTACAACAGAAAATTTGACTAGTTAAAAAAAAAATCCAAGTTCTTATTTTCTTTTGATAAGTATACTTGAAGGTCACTTTTCTTTTGAACCTGTAATTCACCAAAGGTAGCTTGTGGCCAAGACGATGCAGAAGACTTATCAAAGTCTATTCAGTCTTGTTTGTGTTCAAAATACAGGTCTATATACTTATTCACCAAACAAATGTAATCTGTGGCTCAATTCAGTAAAAACAAAACAGAAAATCATGAGCATCTCTAAGAGAGATGTTTAAACCTAATTAGGAAAAATATGGCTTACTGGTGGATAAACTAAGAACTACAACTGTTAAGCACAAACTTGGAGGCAATTTGGAGAGCAGTACTTGAAACCAAGCGCCTTCTAACAGCCACTGGCTTTAAGATGACTATAGGAGAGGCTGACCAGGAAAATGCTGCTGAGCAGAATTCTCCAAGTGATTGATCATACAAACAAATAGGAAAGTCTTTTTCTTTGTAGACTGAACCAGTTTACCTTTCCTCTCGAGAGAGTCACTTGTTATGCTGGTACCATAAATCCTAAAGTAAACATGAGCTAGCTCATTTCTGACTTTCACAAAGAGAGGTGCGGCATCTTGCCACATATCACAAAACTACAAAACAAGGTCAGCTTAAAAATCTGAAACATTTCAAGACTGAACTGTGTGCAAAGTTGGCTCCACTTTACACATCTTTGGGTATAACATTCTTAAACTCAAGGAGATCCAAATACAAGTGAAGCTGTTCAGCACAGTACAGGCCACAAAATGGGTTGCTGTGGTGAAACTTCCCCAGCTGACTGTGGCAGTTACCAGAGTCAGAAGGGGTTTTATAGATTTTCCCCAGGATTTCTTTCAAAAATGCTGTTAACTAATATCTTCTAGGGTTGGAGTATACGTTCCCACAGGGATTGCAGCTTTTCCTCAGGAACTAGTACATACACCACATGCCTGGGCAAAGAAGATCTTCAAGAACATCGTCACTTACTCTTACATGCCACATGGAGGGCATTTTGCTGCCTTTGAGGAACCAAAGCTTCTGGCACAAGACATCATGCACTTTGTCAGAAAGGTGGAACAGCTATGAACCTGCAGTTTAGATACATACATAGAATGGAAGCAAGTTGTTTGCCACCAGCAGAACCTTTACTTTGAGGGATTAAATAAATCCAATGTAATCACATACAGAAGCCAGCATTTTATCTTTATAATGATTATAATACTAAACTTGTTAATCAAGCTCTTAAGGGCGGGGCAGGGGGGGAGCATCTTGTCTTCTTTCATTCCCGGCACCATATCATTGCTGCAGTCATAATTCAAGTATAACAGAATATGTAAACAGTTTAACGCAGTAACATTGCACTCATTTGGGGAAGAGAGTAGAAAGGAACTGGCCCCTTGCTCCTCAGAACTAAGGCTTCTGTTCAAAAGCTTCTTTAAACACTTGAGAGCTAGCATTCTTAAATACGCATTACAAGCAGTTTTGGTGGAAGTGTAAAGGGTTTTGCTCTCCTGAGCACAAACACTCCTATGTTCAAGTTATATTTCATTCAAGAAACCTGCAATTACATATTCAAGTGGGCAGCTGCACGTAAGGCAGCTTTCTTCATTCTAGCAGTTTTTCCCTTGGAGCTGGCTTTAGCAGTTACTACACATTGTAAACAGTTGTTAATAGATAAGGCAGTTTTCTTCATTCTAGCAGTTTTTCCCTTGGAGCTGGCTTTAGCAGTTACTACACATTGTAAACAGTTGTTAATGGATAAGGCAGAGACAGCACTCCTACTGTTCTCCAAGCTCGAAAATATCAACTTAATCTCCTCCTAGTTCTACAATCTCATTTCATTCCAAAAGGCCAAAGTTAAAATATGCACCAAGTATAGAGGGTTACTTCAACCTTTACCCTCCTTTCAAAGGATTTTTACCACCCCATCATGCAATTTTTGCTAGCAAGAAACTGCAAGCAACCTCACTACCAGTAGGCTCAAGTTTCTCTTCAAATGGGATAGAGCTATTAAGCTCATTACATTACAGATACATACCCAGCTGACTGAAGAGAAGTCCAGCAGATATCTAGTTCTGACACACTGTGCTCTAAGGGTTTCTCTTCCTCCCTGTCCCATTCTGCACTAGACACCAGAACAGAAGAAAGGGCTCAAGTTCTGCTTCCAAGTAATACATTCTAACTAGAACAGGAATTTGACAGGTAAAGATAGTGCTGAACTTGATCACACTCCCCTCACCTCTTCTTCACATTTCAGAAACATTTAGAGTCTAAGACTCTAAGACTTATAAGAGGTAAAAGTAAGCAAGAAACTAACTTTTTCATTGTTAAGTGAGAATAAGCTAGCATATTGGAGCAGGAGTCCTAACTTCCTCTGAAGAGGGTTAGAGCAGAAACTGCTTTTAATTTTAACTGTATATCTAACTGATTGTCAGGGCTGTTGGACTAAAGATTAGGAAAAAATCCTAAAAAATAGGAAGATGTGCTTCCCTGCCTCCACAGGACTGCTCACCCTCTTTTCATCACCAATACAAGAGTGCTAGGTACAAGACCTCCCAATTGCTGAGAAATCCCAATCTTTGGATTATTAAGTAACTGAAACTGAGTTATGGGGAAGTCTAATTTTATCAAATACATGAGCAAACACTTGAATACTCAAGCCTGATCAGACTGCAGGGAAAGGTCTCCTTTTACAGGAATAGGGTAGGTAAGAATGGTTATGGCCTATATAGTAAAGGCCAAGTATATCCCAATCAATCAGCTAATGTAGTAATTATTACCAGAGAAACAGCCGCATTAAAACTCGTGAGAGAGAACACTGTATCCAGTATTTGCCAGTTCAGTAAGTATGCGTCAGGAAAGTTTTACTCCCAACACACTAATTCACTTCCTGTGCCACAACTCGGGTCCCTAAAGAATCACTGTATCTGTGTGCAACTGTGCCTTAAAAGGTATTTGCTTTCAACAACAATTCAGGAGATGAAGACAGATGAACACAGCTAAGCTACAAGAAGGCAGCAGATGCCCTGGAGAAGAGATCCAGACAGACAAGAATATGCGGTTACATTTGATAAAGTTGTTATCACTTAAAGCAGCACCAAAGGTTATTCAATATTCCATTAAAGTTCTACAGAGCACAGGTCATTCATGAAAGCCTTTCAGCGTCACTGGTGCTTGAAACCAGACATAGTCCTCCCAAGTAGAAGTCACATGCTGAGAAGGCGAGGCACTTATGTTGATGTCTCCATCACAGGACAAGTTAACAGTTAATTTCCTCCCTCGGGTCGGCACTTTATAGTTGAGCTTGGGCCGGAACCAATCAACACCACAATCGCGGTGTCCTTGGAGCATAACAACAGTGCCCATGACAGGGAGAGCCTTAAGTTCACTGAAGACATCCGCAACAAAGAGTGAGTGAAAGAGCTTGCGAACACAGGATGCAGTTTTCAGGCTCTCCTCAGCACTGCCCTCAGAGATACCCTCCAAGTTGAGCTCATAGAGCTCCTTGGGGCTCATGACATTGCCTCCGAGTAGAATAAGAACCCGAGGAACAGGTGTCAAACTAAACATTACTTCTAAGTGCTGGAGCACTCCCTCCAGCTCCATCAGCACCTGCTGGCACTTCTTGCTTGCCAGGTCCACAGAGGGTGGTTTCTTAATCATGTCTCCATCCTGGAAAACAAAACAAAAAAGATTAGCACATTTAATTATTAGGACATATTAGTCATAATACATGCTTCAGAAAGCATGGCCCATGCCATCCTTCCAAGTCAAGGAAGGTTCAAAGGGGTTTATGCTCCTTTTAAAAGGTATAGATACCCACATACAGAATCAGGAGATCCAAGAGGAACACAAAAGGCCACTCTATAGCTAGTCAATTTGAATCTGAATCACACTACTGATGAATTCCCACAAGAATTAGAAGCCTGATCTCTTAAAGATCAGCTATCACTCCAAAACTACTTAACATTTTTTTTTCTTAGAGTTGTTTGAGTAACAAACAAAACAGTGACATGCTTTGAGCATAAAGTAGGGCAAGAGATAATTACTAACTTGTTGAGACTTTTAGCCACCTAACCTAAAGCTTTTTTTTTTTTTTAAATGAAGTTGTGGTAACATTTAAGGATACAGCTACAATAAGCGCTTTACTTCAGAAACGGTTGACACATTAAAATACGAGTTACAGAGCTAGAACAGTTAGCTACAGGCAACACCCAAAGGCCGCAGCCTGCGCGGCACGGCCACCCCCGGGCCCGGGGGTCTCT